AAGAAAGACGCATTCAACCGTGAAATTAGATTATACTAAAAAGTTAAAACAAAATTTACAAGTTGTTGACAATGTTCAGAGAAAATTCAAATAGATAATAATACAATAATTGATTATCCTATCGTCAAGATTGTCCAAAACATGTCTAATCGAAAATCATTCACAGAAACATTTAGAACTATAATTACGTGAGGATTATAATTACGTAAATGTACATTCAAATTCAATGATTATTAATATAAAGATTACGCAAAACATAAATACATATTTCTATCCATTTATCTGAATTTGTGATACTTGTCAAAAACGTGTTAGACTTATATTTAACCTCGTGAAAATAATACAACCCAAAAAATCATTCAAATTGTGAACAATTACCCATTATTTGATTTTTTTCCTTGGTTGCTGCCAACTTTAGGAAGACAAGATGAAGTGATATCTGAGGCAATTTTTGAAATTTCGGAGCCACTTAGATTTTCACAGGGCCGTCGATGGCCCTTCATTGAATACTTAGTTGAATAATAATGTACATTATTTAAATTCAAAAATATATTTAGATTTATATATACGTACCAACCTACAATATCTGGATGAATTACAGTCAATTACGCTCAATAAAGTGCATTAAAGTTCAATGATCATTTCACAATGATTACACAAAACATAGATATTTCTCTAGTACCCCTTATCCGACTTAATGATACTTGTCACAATGTGCAAAATTTATATTTTATCTCTAGAAAATAATACAATTCAAAAAATCATTCGTATTTTGAAGAATTATTCTTCGGCAGCCACCAAACACCCGACTTAAACTTGGTTGCAGTCCAACTTCAGGAAGAAATTTCTGAAACAATTCTTGAAAACAGTGGGCCAACACCACCATTGTCAAAATCAACTTGGCCACCACCTTAAGTTTTCATTCTTATTTTATTTAATTTTTTTAGTTCCGTATATGATTAAGGATCACAAAATCAGTCTCCCAATACCACTTATATCACCGCTTATATCCACAAATTACAAGAGGAAAAAGGGAAACCCATATTTATTTAGAATTTGTTTCGCGCGGGTAGTAACTAACAATTAAAAAAGATTCAGACGATAGTGTAAGGGACAAACCTCTTGAAACAAATTCCTAAAAATGGGTGCTTTATTGATGAGAGTTACAATTGGAAATAAATAAAATGCCTCCAAGAAATGCAAGTACACGAGTACTGAAAAGGAATAATTAAAG